TTGAAATTTTGGAATCTGTGTTAGAAGCAAGTACGCTCGAGCGGGAAAATAGACGCTCGAGCGGACTACGCGAATTCAGCAAGTTTAAAGGCACTTTTCTATATCATTCTTCACACTTTCATCTTCTCTCTTCATCCCTCTCACCCTAGGTCCGAAAACCCTAGGTTTTGACCTCAAATGCCTTCCATTTCCCTAAGAATTGGCCAAGATCTCTTACCAAAAAGTGAGGAAGGCTTGAAGCTCAATATTTTCAACCGATTGGAATTCGGGTTTGCAAAGGATTTTTCTCAAAGCTTTGCTCTCTTGCTTGATTCTTGAGGTAGGGGTCCTAGTTTTTCTTCAATACTTCCATTAATAGATAGATTTGTGGTATTTTGATTATATAAATACAAACCCTCCATTTTTGAGCATATGGTGCACATCATGAGATTTAGGGGTTTAGGATTTGAAGTGTTGGGGGTTCAATTGTTGGGTTAATATGGTGGATTATGAACCTTAGGTGTATAATCAAGGGGGAAATTGGAATTAAAAGTAGTGGTGTGAGAAGTTTCAATTTTCTTGAAATTCTTGATTTTTCTTGAAAACCCTAAGTTGATTCATGATGATAATTTATGATTTTTTCCCAAACTGAAAATAGAATCATGAAATTGATAGGTTGAATTATATATATATATATATATAAGTTTAATTGGATTTTAGAAGTGTTTGAAAATTATGTTAAAAATTAGTGATTGAACCTTTATTATGGATATTATAAATTTACATGCATCATAGATTTCTTGAGATTGAGAAGGATTTGAGATTAAATTCATGGAATTAGGAAGAAATTGGGTTTTGAACATAAAATGAGTTACATGCATGTTCATGATTATGGAAGTTAATTATTTTGGATTTGCTTTTGAATATCTTACATGAGTTTGCGTCTAGTTCCTACATGCATGAACAAATTCTACAAATTTTGATATTCTAATTGTACATTTGATTTTGAAAAAGAAGTTTAGAAAACCATGAGTTCATGGGTTTTGATTTTGAAATTAAGTAAGGTTTTGATTTAAATAAATTAATTATTATGTTTCAAGATTTTGAGGAAATAATTTATGAATAAATAAGTGTTTATATTTTCTAAGGCATTTTCATGGTTTTGATCAAGTTATGCATGGATTTAAAAAGAATTGAAAATGCGTTTGGAAGCCATTTTTGAGAAGTTCGAAATTTTGGAATTTTACAGACCGCTCGAGCGAACTAATTGCCGCTCGAGCGCAAATTGAAGGATTCCAGTACTTTTATAGTCTCTTACAGACCGCTCGAGTGACTAAAGGCTCGCTCGAGCGAACAACTATTCTTAGCATATTTTGGAAAGTTACATTTAGTTCGTATTTTTATTCTCATCTCTTCCCAAAGCATTCTAAACATGATTTATGACTCAATAAAGATTAATAAGCTACTAAAAAACATAAATTAGTTGATTAAAGAATAAGTCATTAACTTAGTGATACTTGATTAAGAAGCCAAGTGAGGATTTGGTTTATTCAGAAAAGAACGATTTAGTAATAAAAGGGATTTGTGAAATGAGAACCCGATTCATCTGACTAAAGAAAAAAAAAATAAGCGTAATGCGCCTTCGAATTATTTAGACAGAAAACAAGAAAGTCAAGTTTGATCAAGGGAGTAATATTGTGCTTCAATGTGTATATGTTATGTGTTTGTGTAGGTCACGCCCTATTGTCTGCTTGACCTGTCTGATCTACTTCTACTGCTATTTGTGAGTAATAACTCTGTAAAGTTATGTTTAACTTTAAGTATTTTCTAACTGATATGATACGATCTATTTTCTGAAATGCTATTTTATGAATTATGAATGAATGTCTAATTTTTTGAAATGTATTTGTGGCACCCTTAGGTCACGTGGCCCTCGCCCGGGGGTAACAATACCGTGGCCAATATGCATGTGGTCCTCGCCCAGGGGTAACAATACTATGGCCTATTTTCACGTGGCCCTTGCCCAGGGATAACAATACCGAGGCCTATATTCGCATGGCCCTTGCCCGGGGGTAACAATACCGATGCCTATATTCACGTGGCCCTCACCTGGGGGTAACAATACCGTGGCTACTTGCGTGCAAGATATGGACCTTTATGGTCGTCGGTACCGACTATGCATGTGGGTCTCAGGACCAAGTTGATATGTTAGCTAATGGGTGTACTACGTATGATCTTATGCAAAATTTGATTATGAATATGAATATGAATATGAATATGTATCTGAATCTATTTCTGATTTGAAATCTGAATATGCAAAGACTCTGTTTCCGATAAGAATATGTTTTTGATATAAACTCTAATTTTTAACTATGTGATGGACATCATTCATTAAAACCCTTTACTCTGTTATTATTCACTGGGCTCTAGCTCACTGTATTATTTATGTATGTAGGTGATCAGGCGCGTGACCAGTCTTAGAGGAATCTGCCTAGAATCTGTTTTTGTTAGCCAACCTATGTGCCTCTCGTGGAGGTTCCGGTTATGTCAAGTGACTATGGCCATGTGATTTAAAGTTTAAGTTTTGTTTTCTTGCCTAGTTAAACAAGTATTGTGTATTTTGTAAATGGGGCTAAGTCCTTTTTTGTCCAATCTGTATATATATTATGACGTAAGGATGATGTGTATATTTGTACATAAAAATTTTAAAATTTTTCTATCTCATATAGGTCTGCACAGCTCATTGGACGTTGTATATTTGTTATTTGCTTCCGCTAGCTGCTAATATTATGTTAATTTATCTCAGAGGCTTTCGGTAATCCCAGGATTACTGGCCGGTTGCGATACTAAACCTGTAGGGGCGGGTTTAGGTCGTGACACTACCCTCTAATTAGAGGCATATTATCTTTAAAATCAGTAACTGAACGATGCTCCAATTTAGTAAAATAGAGGCTTCAATCCAAGTTAATTCGTAAGGACTAAGAGGTTGAATATTGTACTATGTCAAAAATCAAATTTTAAAGAGAAAATTGGAAACATACACAAATAATTACAACAATGTGGCAGCGTAAAAAATAACTAAAGTGCAGATGAAACTTAAAAATTAATATTAAAAACATGGGAAAATTTCAAAATCAAAATACAATAAATCATTTAATTAGAGATCATCGAATTGCTCATGATAAGAATGAATTCCACAGTCATTGATGAAAATCAATTGACCTTTGGAAATCACCTCTCTTTGCTTGGGAGTTATCATCTCAAAGATTGAACGACAATCTTTTTTTTTTGCTCAGCAAAAAATGAAAATCTTTGTTGATATAAAACCAAAGTACAAGGAGGAAGTACATTAATAAAGACAAAGAGAAGTGAGTGCAAAAAGCATCATAAAAAGCATCAGTACTCCGTGCATGACTTTATGTGCAATTTAAATAAGATTAGGAGGTGCTTGTAAGGGGTAGCTCAACTGTTGCCTTTGGTTGGGGAGCTATTGTTGCTGCTGAAGTTGTGTTGGGAAGCTATTTGTGTATAAGGGGTAGTTTAGTGGTTGAGTGCAATTAGGAGAGGGTTGTGGAGCATTGGGCTGCTGAGTTTTGCAGTGCATGCTAGTGTGGCTATTCTGTTGCAGGTAAGATGGTGTTTATCAAGTAGAGGAGATTTGATGGTGTGTGCTACGGTTTGATGTTATAGTGTTGCTGCTGATGGTTTTGGTTTGGGGATGTTCTGCAACGACCGAGTGAAGCTGTCTGTCAGTGTTTTGATCTGGTTTGGGAGTTTTGCAGCTGCCTGTCTATCTGAGTATGCAGGACAACTGTTGGATTGTTTTGTTTTGATTTGTATCCTATTTGGTTGTTAGGTTTTTTTTTTGTGGTTTTTTCCTTGCTTGGTTTGGTCTCTCTTCAAACCTTGCGGTTGAGCTTGCAGATGATTGGGCTCTCTTCTCGATGCCAACTTAGTTGGGATTAGGTTAGTTTGCTATGATGCTTGTGCTCTTCCCTCCCTTTGTTGATGTAATTTCATATGAATTTATGTTCTTATTATCAATAAAGGTTTTTTGTTGATAAAAAAAAAAACAAGCCGAGACAATCCCAATTAGTTCGACACCAAAATGCAAGCGCAAACGTATACTATTACACCACCAGGTTGGAGAGGATCCAACAAGCAAGAAAAATATAGAACAAAAGCAAATCCAAAGCATCAGAGAGAGCCAACCCATCAAATAACCAAGGATGATGTTCTGATTTGTTGGATATTAGCGACAAACTCGTGCACAGAGTAGCAAATTCCATTTTCATTGCTTTTAACCCATAAAAGCCACTCCTATGTTTATCAATTCCTGCAGCTCTCCCAAATTGGTTGAACACTGTTAAATTTGCACTCATTCCTGTGCTTCCAAACAAACCACAAAACTGCCAGTAGCATAGCTTATTACAACAAAAAGCACATTTGGCGACCAAAGTACAAATTTCGTCACCAAAAGAATCGGTGACAAGTACACAATTGGTTGCCAAAGGCCTATCACTAAAAGTATTGGCGACCAAATCATAAATTGTCACCGTATGTAGACACTTAGCGACAAGCAAAATTGATCGCCAAAAATCATATATTTTGTCGCTGTAAAATTCTAATTTGTCACTAAAAGGTTAAGATTTGGATAAGTTATGTAGTTTTAGCGACAAATAAATGCGTTGCCAAAAGTACTATTTAGCGACAAAATTAATTTGGTCGCTAAAAATCAAGTTTTTAGCGACAACTAAGTTTTGGTTGCTAAAAATTCTTGGAATAGCCACTAACTTTTAATGACAAAAACAATATGTTGTCGCCAAATATATTAACAGCGACCAAAATATCACCTGTCACTAAAAATTCACAACACAAATTTGGATTTTAATAATTTTTTTGTTTAAAATAATCCAAAACACCTGTTTTTTTCTACTCAATATATACACAAATACAATGTAAATAGTAATACACCTGTGCAAAACATTCATAATAATTTAAAATTAATAGATATTAAACATTCCAATAAACATAATTACAATTCTCTAGCAATTTGAAACATTCATACCAAAGTACTTACAAACTATTAACATCAAACCCACAAATCCATTACCAAATCCTATGTTAAAATATTTTAAAAAATACAAAACCAAATATTTTGATGTTAAACATCTAACCCACAAGTCATTTACCAAAATCCTATGTCAAAATATTTGCAAAAACACAACTAAATATTTTGATGCTAAATATCTTACCCCTAAGTCATTTACCAAAATCCTATGTCAAAATATATCCAAAAACACAAAATCAAATCTTCTGATGCAGCCTGAACTATTTTTCACCATTGCTAATCTGCCACATGAAAAAAAAAAAAAAAAATTAGATTGACCAAAAAAAAAACTCGGTATGAATTTCACAATTTTGATTTTAATTTTGTAATGTGAAGTCTAATCGGGGTGCCGTTTGCTCATACAAGTTTATTTAGTGTTGAGCAAGCTGCCCGTGCTAAGTTTTGGTGAGTTTCGGTAGTTCTTTCGCACTTTCGCCCCCTGAACGAGCCTTTTAAGTCTTGTGTTTTACAATTTTCTTTCTAATTTTCCAATCAGAAATCCAATCGAGGTCTCGTTTGTTCCTACAAGTCTATTTAGCCTTGAGCAAGCTGCCCGTGCCAAGTTTCGGCGGTTTCGGTGGTCATTTTGCAATTTCGATCCCCGAACGGGCCTTTTAAGTGTTGTGTTTTACAATTTTCCTTCTTATTTTCTAACCAGAAATCCAATCGAGGTCTCATTTGTTCCTACAAGTCTATTTAGGCTTGAGCAAGTTGCCTGTGCCAAGTTTCGGCGGTTTCGGTGGTCGTTTTGGCCTCGAACGGGTCTTTTAAGTCTTGTGTTTTACAATTTTCCTTCTAATTTTCTAACCGAAAATCCAATCGACGTCCCATTTGTTCCTACAAGTCTATTTAGGCTTGAGTAAGTCAGCCGTGCCAAGTTTCGACAGTTTTGGTGGTCATTTCACAATTTCGCCCCTCGAACGGGTCGCTTAAGTGTTGTGTTTTACAATTTTCCTTCTAATTTTCTAACCGGAAATCCAATCAAGGTCTTGTTTGTTCCTACAAGTCGTTTTAGGCTTGAGCAAGCTGCCCGTACCAAGTTTCGGTGGTCATTTCGCAATTTTGGCCCCTGAACAGGCCTTTTAAGTCTTGTGTTTTACAATTTTTCTTCTAATTTTCTAATGAGAAATCCAATCGAGGTCCCGTTTGTTCCTATAAGTCTATTTAGGCTTGAGCAAACTTCCCATGTCAAGTTTCGGTGGTTTTGGTGGTCATTTCGCAATTTTGACTCCTGAACGGGCCTTTTAACTCTTGTGTTTCACAATTTTCCTTCTAATTTTCTAACCGGAAATCCAATCAAGGTCTTGTTTGTTCCAAAAAGTCTATTTAGGCTTGAGCAAGCTGCCCGTGCCAAGTTTCGACAATTTCGGTGGTCATTTCACAATTTTTACCCCCAAACGGGCTTTTTAAGTCTTGTGTTTTACAATTCTTTTTCTAATTTTCTAATTGGAAATCCAGTCAAGGTCTCGTTTGTTCCTACAAGTCTATTTAGGCTCGAGCAAGTTGCCTGTGCTAGGTTTAGGCAGTTTCGGTGGTTACTTTACAATTTTGCCCCCTCGAATGGGCCTTTTAAGTCTTCTGAACCAAACTTTTTTATAGTTTGTTCAACACAACCAAACATATTAAGTGAGATGCTTGTAGTGATTGAAAATTAAATTATGAAAAATATACTTACAAAAGTGCTTGTCAATAAGATTCCTCTAATGGATAATCATCTTCATCAACCTGCATGTCTGCCCGATCCTTGTGCATCCTCATAAACTTCTCAATCTCTTCAAATCTTTTGTTTTGCATTTCAATCATTTTAGCTTGCTCTTGTGCTATCAGGTTCTGGGCTGCAATTTGTTCTTGCTGGACCTCGGACAAATTCTTCAATGACTCTAGTTGTTTTTGTAGGCTCGAAACCACCTTAATATGTGCTTGTGCACTAATAGAAGAGTTGGATGAGGATGGTTTTGGACCAACTCTAACGCCTTTTAAGTATCCCGATTTCCTTCCAAGAACCTCAATTAAAAGCTGCTCTTGAGTTAAAGGTACTGCCCTAGGCTCTAAAGACTCTTCACGTCACTTTTTCAAAGCTTCCTATCAATTTGTAAACAACTTCAACAAATACAACCATTTACATAAATGTAACTCTATTAAGTGGCATACTTACATGTAATTGACCACATATTAGGGCTACCCAATCCGACTTTCTCTTACTCCAATGAGAATCTTTGTAGAAGTCTACAATGTCAGTCTTCTCGGTACCCTAATTCCATTTAAAAGTAAGCATACATAATTAATTTTAACTTATCACACTTTTAAATATAATAAATGCATCACCTGTTTTCACATTGCAGCTTGAAATGACTTGGAGCCCATTGTATGATTATATGGTAACCTCAATCGACTATCCCTTGCTTTTTCAGCCAAGTTCTGCAAAATTAATTGATTAGTAAAATTAAATTGAAATTATAACATGATTATTTAAATTAGAAAATTTTACCTGATGATCGCCATCAAACCATACATGATTGATCATGTATATCCAAGCCTTATAATCGACCCCTTTGTATGGTTTACTATAAGGGTCAACACCAGCATCTACCAACTTTGAGTAATGAGACTTCATCTTGTTATGCCAACTTTTGTAAAGAGTTTTACACTTTTTATTGACTTATTTCCGAACCTCTTCATCATTATCATAATCAACAATCTCAAATTTATCCTGCAAACATAATAAATACTTTTATTGATATCAAAATGCAAGTAATGGTGATAATCTTATTATTTTAAAAATAGCAAATGCATGTACCTGAATGAATGATTGGGGCTTTATGAATCTCATCAATCTTGTCCCACTTTTTTATATCAATGATTGGTGCAGCCATCCTTATCTGTAAGCCAAGTTAATTTGCAAATGGAGTGGCATAAGGCCCTACTGGCACATTTGCATCTACAGGGATCCAAACAGAAAGTTTTTCACCACCATTATTAGCTATGAGACGTGCTATGCTTTTCCCTCCAGTTTGACCCCTTACTTGTCTAGAACGAGTACACAACCCAGTTGTAGATGGTGCATCCTGGGTAGTAGTTGCATTTGTAAGTGGTGTAGCCTAGATAGTAGTTGCATTTGTAGATGGTGCAGGCTGGATGCTTAGAGCATTTGTAGATGGTTCACTCTGAGTAGATGGGGTTAAATTAGCTAGTGTATGCTGAGTAGGGGTAGCATCTCTGGCTGCAACTTGTTGGGTAGGTAGAGGAACTTTGGATGATGTTGTACTTCGAGCTTTACCAGGGCCTGCCATCTAGCATAATAACTCAACAATTATATGTGTGAAACATATGTAAAATAAGCAATTACATTAATATCAATGGATGTATAATAGAATTAATATCAGAACATAAGTGATAACTAAAAAATAAAATGACATAAAAAACTAAAAAAAAAATATATATATAGAGAAAGAGAGACAGGGACACACATAAACACACATATACAAAAAAAAAAAAAACAAAAATCTTTTTAAATAGTCATTGTACTCAAACTCAAAGGCATTTAAACAACAGTGTCATAAAAACATAAAAGTGACACAACAATTAAAGTTCTATGTCAAAATCTATATTAGAATCAAAATGATTATGTAGCTCATCTTTTCAGATAGTCAATGCTCATAGTAATCATCTTCATTATTGCGCCCTTCTTTATCATCAACACCATCGTTGTGTGCTTGACTAACTGATTATAAAACCACCTCACTTGGGATAATTTGAGGATCAATGTCATTCCTATGAAGTGAGATTGTGACGGGGTCTTCAACGTTGACTAGGACAACATCAATTGTTTCATTCTGTTGGAATACATCATTAGGTTCAATGACATCTTGTTCTGATACATCCCATATTCCTCGATGTTGTAGTCTTTCTACGACTTTCCAATGTCCACCTAACTTTGTATCATCAATGTAGAAAACTTGTTTCACACGACTTGGTAAGACAAATGGATCATCTTTATACCATCGACTTCTAACATCAATACTTGTGCAATGTGTATCAATATGTAATGATCTATTGCTACCGGTGTTGAACCATTCACATTGGAATAAAATAACTCGATGTATTCAAGTACCCATAAAAGTCAATTGTTTGTCCTTCATGCTCCCTTTCCACAACTAACCCACTATTTTGGCATTTATGACTACTATCACGATCTTTACTATGAAATCGAACACCATTGAAAATGCAATCTGAATACAAATTAACATTCACACTAGGACCATTTGCTAATGACCGCAAATCATCAGTTGCTTCTGGTAATCCTTGAGCTCATAATTGGTTCATCTACATAACGACATCAATTTCAATTATTATGTTAGTATTCATATAAGTATAGCTGAATAAAGTTTAGGATTATATCTTACATGTTCTTTGAACCACTTGGAAAATTTCTCTTTCTGTCTCTTTGTGATGTCACGTGCACCTTGATTTTCTAAAAGATTCTTGTGTTACCTACTTACAAACATATGATTGATAAGTAACATATTATACTGAAAACATAATTCTACCAAAAACCAATAATAAGAACGTACTCTAGATAATGGTCCAACTTGAGGCTATTATTCAAGACGAACCAATGAGCCATTTCACGTTCTTTTTAAGACACGTCAGAAGCCCTTGTAATTAGCCCAAAAGGACGAACATTTTGCGTGAAGACCTTTAACCCCAACTCATGCACACCAACATTGACATTTCATTCCTCTCGATTAAATACAGTTTCAATCCCACCAGATACATTAAGCAAAATGTGAGACACTCCTTGACAACATAAGCTTCTGCGATCGAACCTTCTGGACGAGCTTGATTTGTGACTTCTTTTTAATGTTCCAAGTAGCCTATGAAACAAACAATAGAATAATCTTATTACATGCACACTCACATTTTTATAAGTATATATACATGTTGTGCTAAAATTTAAGTATTCTAGTATATTAAGAAATTAGTAAGTACCTTTCAATGGAGTATATCCACCGATATTGCACAGGCTCACCAAGAATGGCTTCGCGCTGCAAAAGAATGGTCAAATGGACCATTGCATCAAAAAATGCTGGTAGAAAAATTTTCTCCAGCTTGCATATCTTCTAATTTTTCCAAATCCTTCACCTTCAATGTCTTTGAGCAAAGCTCTTGGAAGAAATTTCCCAACTCATATAATGTGACACAAATATCATTATGAAGATATCCACGCATTCCAATGGGAAGAAGTCGCTGTAGAAGGACATGACAATCATGACTTTTTAGGCCTGTTAACTTATCACCTTTTGTGCTCACACACCTTGAGATGTTTGCTGCATAACCATCAGGATACTTAATAGACTTAAAAAACTCACAGAAACCATGCCTTTCATCTAAGGACAAAGTGTACAATGCTGGGGGCTCTTCAAAAGACCCATCGGCACGCCTTTTTAGATGCAACTCCTTCCTTATTTTCATATGTTTTAAATCTACGCGTGCTTTTTCTGTGCCTTTGTTTTTTTCATCTATACTCAGTAATGTTCCAAGAAAACTATCACATATATTCTTCTCTATGTGCATAACATCGAGGTTGTGTCGAAGTTTAAGTGTTTTCCAATATGGCAACATAAAAAAGTTTTTTTTTTTTTTTTGTTATCCAATTCAATACTGGATCTTCCCTTTTTCTTTTCTTATTGGTTGGATGCTTTCCAAATGGTCTGAATGTCCTTAAGTCCAATTGTTCTAAGATTTGTTCTCCTGATAACTCCAAAGGTCTTGACACAAACTCAGCCTTATCGTTATAAAGTCGACTCCTCCGCCAAGGGTGGTCATTAGGCAGGTAACGGCGAGCGCCTGTGTACCCTATTTTACTTCTCAATCGTTGTGAGGATGCATTCTTGTTACATGTGGGACAAGCCAAATAACCTTTCGTACTCCATCCTGACAAGTTGCCATATGCAGGAAACTCATTAATCGTCCATATAACAGCCGCATGCATTCGAAAAGTTAATTCAGTTGAGGCATCATAAGTAAGCACACCATCTTCCCACAACTCCTTCAACTCATCAATTAATGGTCGCATGTAAACATCGATATCTCTCCCCGGTGCTTGTGGTCCAGGGATAAGTAATGACAATATACTAAATGATTGTTTCATACATTTCCAAGAAGGCAAGTTGTGAGGCATAACAATCACAGGCCACATATTGTACGAGTTGCTCAAGTTTCCAAAAGGATTGAAACCATCAGTGGCTAATCCTAACCTCACATTTCGAGTCTCTTAGGAAAACAAAGGATGTTGCCTATCAAAATCCTTCCATGCCTCACCATCAGCTCGGTGCCTGAATATCCCATCATCTACTCGCTTCTCTTTGTGCCATCTCATAGCTATAGCTATTTTTCTCGACATATATAATCTCTGCAACCTCGGTGTCAACGAGAAATATCTTAAGATCTTATGAGGAATTTTCTTACCTTTTCCATCATTCAACTTGTATCTGGACTCTTGACAAATTAGACAATTCTCTAAATTTGCATTTTCCTTCCAAAAAAGTGCACAATCATACTTACATGCATGAATCGACACATATCCTAAGTCTAAGTCATGTAAGAATTTTTTGGTTTCATAAAGAGTCCATGGAATCACTTGATCACTTAGCAGTAGAAGGTCCTTTAATATCCTCAACAACACGTTGAATGACTTATTGGTCCACTTGTTTAACACCTTTACATGAAACATCTTAACAACAAATGATAAAAGAGAAAACTTATGACACCCAGGGTACAACTCTCTTTGAGCATCATTCAACAATTTGTTAAAGTTGGGCATGTCCTCTTTTTCAACATTATTAGCCACATTATCACCATCGCCATCGTCCTTTTTCTCCCCATCGTTTTCATCATCATTCATGATAGTCCCCATGTAAACATCTTCTAACAAATTTAGGATTCCATATTGATCTTCGCCTGTCTCTTCTTCCATTCTATCCCCAACACTTCCAAAGTCATTGTGGTTGTCATCATTGAATGCATAAGATTGATTCATGGGAACAGATTCCTTGTGATGCACCCAAGTCTTATAAGACGGGGACATCCCTTTCATGACCAAATGATACTCCACAATTTTACTAGTATGCCATTCACAATTTAAACAGTCCATACAAGGGCAACGGATCTTATCATTTGGCTCTACATTTGCCATTGCAAATTGAACAAAAGCCTTCACCCCATCTCGATATTGGAAACTCATCCTATTCTTAAGTAACATCCAACTCTTGTCCATATTTGGTTACCTAGAAAGCCAAGGTTACATGAAATTGTTATTATGTATATTAATATCCAATCGATAAGTAGTCCTATCCCATTTATGAATGCATAATGAAAAATATACTAAAATACTAACCTTTAACTTAATTAGGCATGTGTAATTTATTTGTAAGACTAAATTAATTATTTAGTTGTTACGATAACCCACATGACATGGCAATTTTAATTAGAGATTTTACAGGATTATGATTCCATATCTTTTGCTCCAAGGTGTTATCTAATAGTGATTTCCGAGTATCCTACTTTGATAGTTCTAAATCTTGGATTATAAAAGTTATTATATGCAATACACCATAAAATAATTTACATTATTAACAAAGTTGTATTAACAATAGTAAGTGATAACCAAGAATTAATATTCAAGTAGAATATGCAATTTACAGTAAAGGGTGAAAAACAATCATATAATAATGATGAAGTGGATATATAAATTAGAATTGCTATATAAATTATGGTATATTGAAATAAAAATGCCCTAACAAATAGTCAAAGCTTACTTGATGTAGTAATTGCCCCCAACGAATGAGTGCAGCTTTTTTATCTCTTTGCATTAGCCAATTACCTATAACATTTGCAATTATAAAATCAAAGTTTAAATTAAAATTGCACTACACATCGAACCAAAATGTGATGTACACATCTAAATAAATGCTTATACTTATAATCTAGACAACAATTGTATTCTTAGTAGAAATGAAAACTACCCTACATTCTTTTTAGTACATAAAATCATTTCCATTTTTTATCTTTTAGTCTTATAACCCAAATTTCATATGCTTGTTGCAATTAAAATTCTTTCCCATATTAGAAACCTATATCCATGCAGAGCAGAAAATCATGCATATCACCACTATTACAAGTCATTTTGTTTTTCTGGAGGTAATCATGTTAGAAAACAAGCATCTCAGATCAACACCAGCAACTTTGTGTAAGGTCTTTGGTCTTGAACTTATATTTAAAAAATTATGCAGCTGCCCAACAAGTACCTACCAAGACAAAGCTAAAATATATGCACATTTAATGAAGAATGTTTCCTTTTGCAGTGACAGATATGCAAACTGCCTGGCATAAAATCCAGCAAAGCCAAGATTACAGTACTTTCTAAATCAGCATAGATGACGACAATGCTCTTCTCTACAAATTGACCCCCGAATTTTGGGTCTTAAAATTTTAATATTATGTATTTTTATGGCATGTTGGCTTCCAACATGGCATTTATCCATCCAAAATTGGCCAGACGTTGGTTTTGGGAGTAAATTGAGAAAAATTACAAATGTTAGGGGCCAAAGTGGCAAAAAAATACTTCAAGGGCCAAAATGGGAAAATTGTGATACCTGGGGCAAAGTGTAATTTATCCAAAATGTTAATGTAATGTATTTTTATGCCACTTGGCACCATGTGACTACCAATGTGTCATTCCTATCCAAAATTGGATGAAATTTGGCTTTGGGATTAAATTTGGAAAAAATACACATGTTAGGGGCCAACATGGGACAAAAATACTTTTAAGGGCCAAAGTTGGAAAACTATGAAACCTAAAGGGTGCAAAATGTAATTCACCTTATCCAAAAACTGGCCTTGCTAGTGTTTTGGGTTTCTGACTATATGCTAAGTTAATGGGTGATAAATCGAGTCCTAAGTTTGGTTGGCTTATAAAAAAATTAAATTTTCGAGTGTCTTACAGACTAGGTTTCTAGCTAGTGGCTTGAGGAAGATGTTGCCATTCCATTATAGATTTTTGTGCAGCTATAGTCTCTTATCTTTGTCAAGGCATATGAATGCTGATGAAGTTTAGAGTTCTATGTTGGTATTTCATGATATTGTCATTTCTAAATATTGAGCATTCTAGCGTGGGTTGCCTGGCCAATTAATGGGAATCCTGGATTAGGTTTTATATGCTTGTGTCACACAAAGGATCTTTTTTAAGATTTGAGTTTTTCCCTTTTTTTTTTGTTCATTTTTAATAGCTTGTCCAAATAAATATTTATCTATTTGGATTTGTTTTTCTCCCTTTGCGCAAATAATGCCAAAGTTCAGGTCTTTACATTGTTGATCCCTCTATGCTACCTGCACTGGATGTACCAACACTAAGTTTGGCCTTGTATTAATGTTCTCTAATCCTAATACTATCATTTTATTACTGCAGGCAGCTCGCAATAATGTGCTTCTTGTTGTTCCAACACTTCTCTATGCTATCAATAACTATCTAAAATCCATTATAGAGGTATCATTCTTTTAATATGTGGCTTGAACATATGTATGTGCCTGTGGAGAGAATTTTATGGGAATGTTCTTTGTGATATAAGAATGGGAACTTGATTTTGCTATTTTCGTTGTTTCAATTTAATGTATAGTCAAGTACTTGTATGCTGTCATGTGATAATGCTCTTTAAAGATGGGTGATTGGGGGCCTTGGTTGTCATTATATCAGATCTTCTGTGTTGTGGTTGCAAGAGAAAGCTCTTTTTGCTATTCAATTTTTGACCATAGTGTGTTTGACAGCTAGGATACTGACTTGATGAACAGTGCACTTAGTTGGGATCATAGATTATTTAAGTTACGTGATTTAAAGGTGTTTTCAAAATGATGGTAGGAACATGGAAGGTTGACTTAGGTATACAAAGCTTTGTTAAGTTTGACATGGTTGATTAAAATCATTAAATACTATCAACTTAAGTCAATTAGGGTTAACTACATGAATCCTTCATCCTTTTATAGCTCTCTTTAGGGCCACACCCATAGCTAGTAGCATTTGTTATTCACATTTATGAAAGAACAAGTTGAGGATATGGTTCCTTGGTAAACCAGTGAAAGAAGTTTATGCGACTGACATCTTTTGTTTGGGATTCAAAAAAGTGTAATTTACCCAAATAAATAACATTTATCACAAACTACATCTCATATTGGATAAACATACATCAGGTAGCCACATGTTCCTAAGTTACTATATGTGTGATAGGTAGAGTCCACTGCCAAAGTGGTTCTGTTGGAAATTGGCATCTAGGATGGTGTTTTAGATTTGGGAAACTTCATTGGACCATGCATTAGTTGAAAGTTGATTCTTTTTGGCATTTGAATGCTACTTGTTTGTGTCACGTACTCTTTAAGCAGAACAACTTTTTTTGAAACTATATTTTAATCCTGCAACTGTGAAGATGTTGAGCAATCTGAAGGTATATTGTTGTTCACTTATATGCTTATGATGTTCACTTAGAGATTGTGTAGTTCATTTGAATTTTGGATTTCTTATGCCTCTCTTGTGCATCGTACTGTCAAGAATATTAACCTGAATAAACTGTTTTTTTAATATATTGTACAAGCTTTTCAGCAACATCTATAGATTTTCTGTAACTTAGTGCAAATTGGCAGCTTGTTTTGGCAGAAACATTCCTTTGGCCTTGTGACTCATTATTTTGTTTTCTTACAAGGGGACATCTTAGTTACCGGCGGGTGATATGTTTTGCTAGATCTTTTTTTTTCCTTTTCATTGAGAAACAAGCTATTTTGTATCAAATTGCTGCTACCACCCTACTTGCAATATTTTTACTTCTTCCCACCAGAAAGGAGACATAATATGCGTCAAATGAAGTGATCTAAGTTCCTATGTTGTGGCACTTATGCCCTTCTGCCTTATATGACTTACTAGTAGTTATCTTGATTCATTCTTTGCTCATGCCACGTGAACATCTATCTTTGCTCATGACTTACTACTTGCAATATTTTTCCTTATTTCCACTAGAAAGGAGACATAATATGCGTCAAATGAAGTGATCTAATTTCAATTTCGAAAAATGCTCATAGAATTGCTAATTGAAGGAATAAACATGTAATATTACAATAATGCTTAAAGATCACACAATAGGAATTAAAAACATCTCAGTTTAGATGAAAATTTTGGACCTAATTTAAATGTCCCATTTAAATCGATAACATTTCATTATCTAATCAAATAAAAATAAAGAAACCTTCATAAGAATCAGCCCAAGTTGAATTGCAAATGAAGTGATCTAATTTCAATCTCCAAAAATGCTCATAGAATTGCTAATTGAAGGAATAAACATGCAATACTACAATAATGCTTAAAGATCACACAATAGGAATTAAAAACATCTCAGTTTAGATGAAAATTTTGGACCTAATTTAAATGTCCCATTTAAATCGATAACATTTCATTATCTAATCAAATAAAAATAAAGAAACCTTCATAAGAATCAGCCCAAGTTGAATTGAAGATCAAAGAAAACTCATTAACCCAACCAAAAAAATAATGTCATTGGATGTTTTTTACAAGCTAAGTTGCTTGTCAATGTTATCCTGTTTTCTATTTACAAAAGACAGAGCATACTACAATGACATATAGGTTGAGCAATCTGACAAAAAATTCAAAAGTGGATGGCCCATTACTTAATCCTATAAAAAAAATATGGGGCATAACAATAGTGAAGGGAAGCAGTATATCATGTCTCAAAGTTATTAGCTTTTAAAAGATAAGGACAATATTTATTGATGATTTAGTAGAAACACCATGCATGCATTTACTGTAAGAAAGTTATGCAAACTAGATAGGTAGAGATGAGTTACATTCCATACTGATTTATTATTACTTTATTATTAATGGATTCTAAAAATCACTGAGCAAATATTTGCAATATTTGGGATTTCTAGAGATTAATTGATAGATTAAAAAAGGGGAAAGAAATGAAATTTAATTTCTTAGATTGATTATTGGTTTTTAGTGCTGTATTTAGTTTGTGATGTCGATTACTTTGGATTTGTTTCTAGAAAATATTTCAGAATAAAATTAGAACTTTAACAGTCATAGATGACATTTGAAGGAAAAAAAAAAAAAAAAGGAAGAAAAAAAGTCAGAGATGTTTATGTAGGGATGAAGAGTACCCCAAATCAATCATTTGGGAGTAGGGCTCAATAAAATTACAGAAAATTTGGATTCATTAATGTTGTAGTATCTAGGATGTTTTTCAGTTAATAGAATTAAAAATCAAAACATAATTTTGTCTGGATTCAGTACATGGGTCTGCTTTTTGAAATTATCACAAATAGAGATGAAATTACAACTTTATTATCAGTTTTCAAAACACACTTTGGTTCTGAAAATGCAGAACCAGAGAATGAAGATTCAGAATTGAAAGAAGCAAAACTAAAGACAAAGAAGAAGAATATGAGGAGGCAATGCTTAGTCGGCAGTGCGAGAGAGCGAGAGAAAAAGAAGAAGAAAAAGAGAATACCTCTGTGGTGTGCCATTTAAGGTCGTGGGAGAGAATACCTCCGTGCTATGCCGTTTGAGGTCGTGGGAGAATGAGCTGAACTTTTAGGTAAATGGTTTGTTTATTCACTCACAAATACTTTATTCACCCAGAAGGTTGGGTCAACTAATTAAAAAAAATAAAAAATCAAAACGATATGGTTTTGAAAGGCAATTTATTGGCGACTAAAATAATTTGGTCGCCATAAATACGGTTCACATTTTTGTGACTATTTTATTTCTGTCGCCAAAAGTGTACAATTACCAACCAAAATTTTCATTGCCGTATATTGGCCCTGTTTGGTAGAGCTGTGGGAAAGTGCTTATAACTTATGCCTAAACAGCTTATAGCTTATAACTTTCAGCTTAAGCTGATTTTTGACTTATTCTTAAAGCATCTCATACTCCACTCAAAGAATAAGCTGATTTCTGACTTCCAAAAAGCTATAAGCTAAACCAAACACATTAAAATAGCTTAAATTAAGCTGAAAGCTGAAATAAGCTGAAATTAAGCTGTACCAAACAGGGCCATTATTTTGGTCGCGAAAACTTTTTAGTGCTCCCGCGCAAAAATTTAGAATGGCGCCAAACTCAATAGCGACCAAAATCTCAATTCGTCACCAATAATTCAATTTTTGGCAACCAACAAGTATATTAGTCGCCGAATATGTAACATTGGTGACTAATTTCCGTTTAGTTGCCAAAAAACGTCACCAAAGATGCTTTTTGTTGTAAGGTTTCCACAATCTTGCTTCCAATTTCTTATACTTGAAACCAACCCACCAATCAAACAACCCAACCAAAGAGCCTAGTATGGCCCATTGGATCTCCACCAGTTCATCAGTTCAGATCAGACCTATCAAATTAAGGGGTAGCCCATCAGCACATGCTTAATTGTTTCCACATCATTATTGCAAAAAAATACAAAGATTGCTCGGGTCAGCACCAAGTACACCAAGTCTGAAGGTAGAAGAAGTTTTGATTCTACCCTTCCACACTAGCCAGCCCAAGAACTGGACTTTAGGGGGAGAGATATTCTTCCAAAGCAAATCATAAATGTATGTACCAATACCAGATGCTAGTTCATTTCTCAGGTAAAACTAAAAATTTACCTGATGAAGAAGCCTTCCATTTGATCCAATCATCATGATTAGTCAACATAGGGATGGCTACATTTAACATGGTGTAGAGTCGTGTAAACTTCTCATCCTCATCCTCCTCGGCAAACAGAGGTCTTTTAAATCTCAGATACTAGCCACATTTTTGTTTAACACATGCCCTTACGGAGATGAGTTTTTTAGTTGACAGATTACACAATTTGGGAAAGCCTTATGAAATTGCTATCTTCCCAAACCAAACATCATTTCAGAAATTGATTCTAAGCCCATTACCTATGATTACCTCTAAATTAGCTGCATAGAAGTCCTTATGGCTGAGATTGGAGGCAACCACAAGAAGAATATCTAGCCAAATCCTAGAATATTTGATCTCAGGTTCCTTATTAGGAAGCCAACCTCCATCTAGGGTTCTATATTTACAGCAAATGACTCTTCTCCGTAGAGCCTTAGTTTTATTTCCAAATCTCCACCACCACTGAGCTAGAAGGTAGTTATTAAAATCTCTAACTTTCCTAACACCCAAACCCCCTTGCTTCTTGCTCTTGGTAACCTCTTCCCATTTCACCAAATGTATCTCCTTTTTCATGTAAGAGCCTTCCCAGAGAAAGGAAGCTTGGATTCTATCAAGAGCTCTTGCTACACCTTTAGGTAATTTGAAGAGAGACATATAATATATTGGCAAGCTGGACAAAACTGATTTGATGAGTTTTTTTTTTTTGTTGTTGTATAAATTTTTGGTTATTTAGGAGGGAAGCTTAGTGAAGGAGTGAATAAGAAATGAACGACAATCATTTTTATGTCTAAATTGCCTTTTTATATACTTCCAAGTAAATTAAAACTAGCTGTAATATGTGCGATGCATGAAAAAATGGACTATATACATTTTGTGTAATAAATAAGTCATCTTAACTTTGAATTATGTCTTAATACCGACAAGTCATGATGTTAGGCTATCCCGGTAGATGTTATCAATAATTAACCAACAAAATTTCACAATAAAATTTAATATGCATAAAAAATTATTAATTATGAAGATTGTTGGTGTAATAGTATCATAATCACTTGATAGCATAAATAACTTGCATCAAACTATAATGTCATGTGGAGAAAGAAAAAAAAAGCATTAAAAGAGAGAAACTCTATAAACTCAAAAAAGTGATCATAAATTTACTTAGACTTTTAAATCAATGGTATACATTTAACCTTATTATTGTGGGACTATGTTATGAATAAATCTCAACCTTTAATTATAATTTCTATGTAGTTTTTTAAAAAAAAATTAATTTGATTTTGTTGCCTGCTCATAGAAAGAACTTTTCAAAACAAATGAATAAATCATCAATTAATCATGTTAGTAACTCTTTGATCTCCTCTATCAATAACACGTACATATCATATCAAAATATAATTCCTTCTCCATAATCATTTTTTCCATAACTTGAATAATATTTACATAGTTCCTACAACATTCAAGAAAAAAAAAATCACAATAAAAACTTAGTAGAATTATAAAAATTATAATTTTAATCCATTTTATTTATAAAAAAACAATGACAAATTATTTGAATTGTACTTGAAGAAATATAACAAATGATAGTTTTAATCATTATCTACTAACAAAAAAATTATATAGGCTATTTAACAAAATAATGGTCAATTGCAACTAAAGTCACAGATTAAATCATATGAACTCTAAATTGATAATATTAAAGATAATGTAGAAGATGTTGATCTTAATATTCAATACAACAATTGGTAAGTACAGTAGTGCTTTTATACAAGTTAACCCTCATCCTAACCTAACTTTAACTTGACTTTTAACTACCTAACCTTCTCTAGTTAACTATTCTAATAACCTAACAGCTTTGATTAATATCTATAACAAACTAGCTGAGCAATGATACTGAAGCACTTGAGTGTAAACTGCACTGAGCTTCTTGAACTTCTTGAACTTCTTGTTTAGCAGATGGTTGTTCAACAACGAGCCATTGAGAGAGGTTTAGTGAAGATATCTGCAATCTGATCAGTAGTGGAAATATAAGCAATGTGCAGGGTCTTAGCAGTAACCTTTTCTCGTACAAAATGATAGTCCACCTCAATGTGTTTGGTACGGGCATGGAAGACAGGATCATGAGCCATACCAATAGCTGAAAGGTTATCACACCACAGAGTAGGGCAGAAACATGAAGCTCAGCAAGTAACATGCCAAGCCAACAGAGTTCAGCTGAAGTTTGAGCTAAGGCCATATACTCAGCTTCTGAGGAAGATCTGGACACAGTTGGCTACTTCTTAGCAATCTAAGAAATAAGATTGGGACCAAGATAAATACAGTATCCAGTTGTGGATCTCCTATCAAGAGTACTACCAACCTAATCTAAATCTGAGTAGGCATTAAGAAGAAGAGGGTCGTGAGAGAAATGCAGGCCACGGGCTAAGGTACCTTTCAAATACCTGAGCAATCTTTTCACAGCAACAAAGTGACAATTTAAGGGAGACTGCATGAATCATCAAGCAGTGTTGACTGCAAAGGCCAAATCTGGTCGAGTGATAGTAAGGTATTGAAGTGCACTTACCAAGCTTCGATAAAGAGAAGGTTGAGAAAAGGGTGAGACATCATCAGAAGAGAAAGTGGAGAAGTTCCTTCATGGAAAATGTAGCATGCATTTGCTGAATGAGAGATTAGATGTAATGAGGATCACTACCAGTGAGAAGAATATCATCTACATAGATGAGAAGGATAGTTATGGAAGTGGAAGTCTTTTGGACAAACAGTGAAGAATCACAGTGACTTGCAACAAAATGTTGAGAAAGAAGAAAAGTAGAAAAAGTAGAAAACCAAGCTCTATGAGCTTGTTTTAAGGCATAGAGAGCTTTGTGTAACATGTAGACAAGAGAAGGTTGGGTGGAATGAATAAAACCCTGTGGTTGAGTCATGCACACCTCTTCCTCTAGAACACTATGCAAAAAGGCATTGGAAATACCAAGTTGTTTAATGGGCCAATTAAAATGAAGAGCAAGACAGGGAAGAACCTTGATAGTGGGCTGTTTGGCCACAAGACTAAAGGTTTCATAATAGTCCACACCTTTTGTTTGAAGAAAACCTTTAGCTACTAGTCGAGCCTTATGTCTTGCTATGGTGCTATATGAATTCTTCTTCAATCTGTAAACCCAGTTACAGCCTATAGCTTGTTTACCAGGAGGGAGAGAGACCAAAGACCAAGTTCCCTGTCTTTGGAGAGCTGCATACTCATCTAACATAGCAGCTTGCCAAGCAGGAGAAACAACAGCCTCTTGATAGGTTTGAGGTTCACAAGTAGCAGTGGAGTTAGCAGTGGAAGTAACAGTGAAACAAGTCGGGTTTCTAATCTTAGATCTGGTAAGCATAAGATGAGTATGAGTAGGAAGACAAGGGAGATCAATAAAAATAGAAGACATAGGAATTTAAGAGTCAGAAGGAGGAATTTAGGACTCAGAAAGAGGTGACTTCTGAATAGGTTGTTGTAGAAGCAAAGCAGTTGACTACTGAGGGATAGAAATAGGAAGTTGCTAAGGCACAGATACAAGAGTAGGGGGAGATGTGGATAGAGCAGAGTTGGGAGTAAATTTTGAGGCAAGAGAATGATGAGGTGTAGAAGACAGTGGAACATGTTGCAGGTCTGAAGAAGCATGGTCTGAAGAAGCATGCCAAAAGAAATCAGGCAAAGTAGAAAGGACTGAGGAAGAAGGCTGAGATGAGGACTGAAAATGAAAGGATGATTCATCAAAGACTACATGTCTAGAGGTATACACTTTTCTAATTTGAGGGTCAAGACATCTATATGCCTTGATAGAAGGTTGGTAACCAATAAACACACAAGGAATAGACTTGGTTTGAAGTTTACAAGAGTTAAGGCTTAAGCCAAGGATAACATCTACAACCAAATGTCCTTAACAGTTGATAATTAGGCTTGTGTTTGAATAAAACTTCATAAGGAGTGAGATTTTTCAACT